ATTCCAGAGCCGCCATGCCTGCGCATGAAGACTGGCGGGACCAAATGTTCACCCCAAAATTGCAATCATACATCCTATAACCCTTTTGGGATTCATGCGGTCCCCAGGGCTAGACCCTATCCCCTATATACAAGCAGGTCATACCCGACAGTTGTGGCTAGCGACTCTACACCCCAGACGCCCTCAGCACCATGAAGAATAGGATGCAATTTATGGCTTAATGTGGGGTGCAAGGCCATGCATGAGGAAGGCCCCGCCACTCTCAGCTGTTGCGGTAAGGCATGGAAAAAGCTTGTATTGGCAACTTCAATTTCACACTGAGGCCATAGCTGGGTTCGCCGGTTCGCCCTTAAAGCGCACCGAAACAAGATCCCGGGTCCGATGATTCGAGGGTGCAAGTGCTACCCTTGATCCCGCCTCAGCTTCTTCGCGTTGGCCGCTTCCTCAGCCTCGACCTTGCTGAGCACCTGCTTTTGAGGCTGTTGGGTAGTTCTCGAAATCAGGGTCCCTGTTTTGGGGTCCCCTACAAAGTACGGCACCCTTAAGCGCCCTTAACATAGGAGGGACTCCCAAAAGGGACCCTCATTTAGAGAATCCCCTTATGAATCTCTAGGTTTATGGCTTTGGGTTGCCATGCTGAATGCAAGGGGCCATATGCCCTATGAGCTCTACAACTCCCAGTCTGCGTAAACCCTAAGCAGCGCTCCCTCTCGAAGGGGTTACGATGGTGTGCGAGACAAGCCTCTGGAACAGCCAAGCAACCGTACGGAGCTGCCTCATACCAAACTCCATAGCCTAAGCACTGTAAACCCTAGCCCCTGAACCCTAAACCCCCAACCCTAAGCCCTAACCTAAGCCCTTTCTCAACCCTACGCAAGCCCTAATTATGACCCTAAAACCTAAGACCCCAAGACCTACAGTAAACCCTAAGCCCTCAGAACTCGTCAACCTAAACCTCCCAATGCCCTAGCCAACAAGAAAGCTGGCGCCCCGTCTGCCACGAGCATCTTGCAGGCAGCCTCCACAAACTATAAAGCCGAAACCCTAAACCTAGAAACCTAAACCTTAAACCGCGCCGGGTCGAGGGTCTACCTACTGGTTCTTACTAAGCGTGAGGGAAAGAGGCACCTTCGATCTCCCGTATGTCTATAACCCTTACAGGGCTGTATAGGGTACCTAATTCCATCATTCCTCATTCCTCTAGGTTCCCCAGTAACTCCTTCATTATAAGGGTACCCCTTTTGTTTCTTGCCCTTCAGTTGTAGTAAGGAACCCCCCAAAACAAACAGCGAATTAAGGGTCCTACTGGAGGACCTAGACTAAGAAGCAGTAGCGTGGGTTTGGGTTGACGAATTAGGGTGTATGGGGACAAGGTCTTCGGGTAGCTACATGGTCCCTGAGTATGGACCCCTTAAACGGGGACCCCCACACACATTCCGCTCAAATCCCCTATAAAACCCAAGGGCCCATACATCAGAACCCCTAAACCCTAAACCCTAAACCCTAAACCCTAAACCCTAAACGCTAAAGCCCTAAACAACTCTTTAAGGGAGCTAAGGGGCCATGTTGAGGTCCCCTCAAGGCCGCCTCGGTAAGATGCGTAGCTCATCTTTTATCTTCACAAAAACCGCTTTAACCCTAAACCCTAAACCCGCTAACCCCAAAACCATTCTAACCATAAACCCAAGCTATCCGGCAGTTACATGGCCCCCTAACATGGGCGCGGCGCTTAGCTTTGCGACGCTTTTTACCCTATAAGCAAGGGCCCATACTCCGAAACCCTTTAAAGAAGGTACGGGACCACACTAAGATCCCTAAGCCCTGAAACCCTGACACCCTGACACCCTGAAACCTTGAAACTCCGAGACCATACACTCCTTGACTAGGCCAAGGAACTACATGGGTTTAAGATATTGCTACTATTTGCCAAAGAACCACCCAAAAATGACAGATAATGATCCCGATAATGCCCTTATAAGGAAGAATATGTTTGCTTATGTGTTTCGATGTTTTTGGGGACTTCTTAAGCAACTAGTATATCAAGGGACCTTGATCCTACCCTTAGGGGATTGGAGATGTCGGGATGGCTGGACAAAAGGAGCGGCTATGACGCAAGACCCGCTCCCAATTGCTGTTCCATTTATTGGGGGCTTGGGGGCTAGGGTTCAGGGTTTTGGGTTTAGGGTTTAGGGTTTAGGGTTTAAGGTTCAGGGTTCAGGGTTTAGGATTTGTAAGGGTTTGGGGTAAGGATATGACAGCAAAACGCTGGGCAACCTTTACAGAAAAGGTGAACCAGTTTAGGGTTAACCCTTAATCCCACTCTTCCAACCTTGGCCCCCCCTGTATATCTACATAATACACAGAAGTTATACCATATACACATACACAGTATACTGTCCCTAAATACTGCAAAACCTAAGTAGGCCCCAAATAGCCTCATGCACACACATATATATATATATATAGATAATGTATATAAACCAAAAATACGTATACAACACATATATATATATATATGTACATAAACCAAAATACGTATACAATATATATATATATATATATATATGTACATAAACCAAAAACACGTATACAATATATATATATATATATGGACATAAACCAAAAATACGTAGAGTCACAGATGTTGATCGACCGGTGTATCACGTTTTGTTGGTTTGTTTACGGTTTGTGGCTGGGTCCTGGCGCGCCGGCTCAAGCAGTGTGTAGGGTTTAGGGTTTAGGGTTCAGGGTTTAGGGTTTAGCTTCTAGGGTTCAAGTTCGTGGGTGCCCTACGCAACTCAGAAAGCAACGGACAAGCGCTGATGAATTCACCTTCTTGTGCAAAACTTGCAGGAACCCGCGAAACTCAAAGAGTTTGGGGGGATTTTGTTCAGGGTTTCGAGCAACATCTACCCGCTGCCTGAAAAGCCTAAACGCCTCTCGAAGGATTGTCAGGTAGCCCACGAAGGAACAAAGTTGTGTGTGCTCTTGCAAAAGCAACCTACAGATCGTGAACCCCTATAAACCCTAACCCAAAACCCAAAACCCAAAACCCAAAACCCTAAACCTTAAACCCTAAACCCTAAACCCCAAGCCCGTCAGGTTATGTCCCACCTTGAACCAGGGGACAACTCGCGCTTGCTCGTCACCGGCAACCCTGACCTGCAAGAAGCTAGGGTTTAGGGTTTAGGGTTCAGGGTTCAGGGTTTAGGGTTTAGGGTTTAGGGTGTAGGGTTTAGGGTTTAGGGTGTGGGGTGTAGGGGTTCAGGTTTAAGGTGTAGGGTCTGGGGTGAAGGTCCTGGGTTCGGGTTTAGGGTTTAGGGCTAGGGTTTAGGGTTTAGGGCTGAAATTTTGATAGGACTCTGGGTTTCAGGTTGAGGGAGGCCTTGAACCCGGGGGCCGACCGAGATACCCAGCTATCGGGGGCAGGGGGGCTTCCGGCACACATGAACAAACCATGGAACCGCAACTACGGATCTGGGTCATCTGTGTCACGTACAGCTTTCTGTAGCGGTTTAAGGTTTAGGGTTTATAAGGGTTTAGGGTTTAGGGTTTAGGGTTTAGGGTTCGGGTTTAGGGTTTAGGGTTTAGGGATTCATCGCTCATCCACTCCGTGCACCGGTGAGAACCATGAGTTCGCCCGCGAAATCCTAACTCGCATGCCGCGCGCATCTTTCTAACGGATTTTCCACCCGCCCCCAAGACCCGGAGAACCCCAACATAGAAACTACCATCATGAGTCTTTCTACCCACTGTAGAAGGAACCCACCCTCGGCAAGGCCCAGCTTCTGTGTCCAAGCCACAAGAGAACCCGACATAGCAGTCGTACCATCTTGAGTCTTTCTACGTGACAGGAACTCTCTTGACAAGGAACCCTGTCTCACGGTCGAAAACCCACGACTCATTCTTTGACCGTGTTCATATGGTTGTTGATCAGTTTCCGAGCTTTTTGTAACTGCCTCTGAGAAGCCGACATGAAAGTCAATGGGCTAGTTAACAAAAAACATTGGATTTTTAGTACTACAACCTGCGCACATAAAACCCCTACAGAGCGATGTGAAGCTACGAGGATACAAATGGCGAGCGAAGTTGAGACTAGTGGATTTTATTACATTCATAACTACCATTTAAAAACCTGACCCTACACTCCAAACTAGCTTATTACCCGAAGTGCTAAACGACCCTTACCCACAAAACCCTGAATCATCCATCACATAAAGCATCCCTGAAAAGGGATCCGCGAAAAGGGTGCCCCTTATTTTTTACAGAAGCCCCCCATACCCTATAATACCCTTAAAAGGCGCTATTATACCATATATTCCCTTAAAAGGCCCTATTACTCCCTATAATCCCTTAAAAGGCCCTATTATACCCTATAATACCCTATAGGACCTCGGACTCCATACCTACATTGGGGTCTAATCACCTACTCTGGGCTGTTTAGAGCCTTTGGGATATTCAAGTGCGCAAACTGTAAACACTTCACCCCAAATACAATAGAAACCCCTTATTCAAAGGGACCTCTCAAAGGCCCAAAGAGAATGCCCCGTGTATCTAATGCGCTCGCGAGAAACGATTTCAAGTTTTCAAACGGGTTCCCAAGCAACCTTAGGCCCGAAACCACTGTCGTTCCGGTCCGGCAGAAGTCGGGTTTAGGGTTTGGGGTTGAGGGGGTTCAAGCGTGATCGGTCGTAACTTCAGGGTGCTTAAGAAGCTGAGGTGGGACTCTCAGTTCTCAATGGAACCTGCAGCTTAGGGTTTAGGATGCTGCCCTGAACGCTTCTATTCCCTAATTCCACCCCACAGCGTCTGTTCTCAACACCGGGAGCTTGCTGAATCACATGCGCAGCCCGTCCGTGAAGCGAAGTTTGCGCAGGCAAGTGGCGCTGCACGCCGTGACTTCCCTTCTGCGCAGACTGTAGCGGCACCCCACGCCAATGAAACCTGGATGCTTGTTCGCTAGTGTTGCTGAACTCGACTGAAAGTGTGCATTCACATCATTAGAGCCTTCGCCGTTTGGGCTTTCCTGGCTCTGGCCTCTCTGTCTCAGGCTCGCCCATCAGCTGTCTCACAGCTGGGGGCACGCTGTTCTTCTTCAGCATCGACTGGATCTCGGCGTTCTTCGCCCCGAAAGCAGCGCAAGCTGCCTTTAAGGGGGCGGAGTCCTTGAGAATCGCGGCTTCTGCGATTTCCACAAAGCTGTCCACACCGACAAGCCTGCACAATCCATCCACAAGAATGTCTACAACGTGCTGCACTTGCCAGCGGTGGGCCAATTCGAAGGCTGTAAGCATGGTCTTGTAGTCGAGCTCGAGGCACGTTGAGCCCGTGTACCTAGCTTGTGCCTAGCTTAGCTTGGCCCTTCGAACCCTCTGTGAAAAACAAGGCCCTATTCATCAGCAAGATACTTGTTAAACACCCTAAAAGGAACTGCACCATATCCCAGGTCCTACACCTAGCTACAGCATGTCCACGAAGAGCGTCACGCCGCTGCTCGACGAGTCTCCGACCCGAATGCGGCGATTTGCACCTTCTTTCATGGCGGACTCCAACATGGCCCTCAACACAGGTGAGGAGGCCATGAGGATGAGGTCGTGGGCTGCTACCTCCCCGTCTGCTGCTTCGAAGATGACATCGTACGTGGAGTCCATGTCCCGGATCGACTCCCACAAGTTCACGACACCCTGCCGCACCGAAACTAGCTGGGGTCTTCGCATCGGAGCCCGCGAGAGGGTCGTCAACATTTCTTCTACACACTTGATCGCTGCTGACCAGCTTTCGCCATCATCCTGTTGCTGCAAAAGCCGAAGGAAGGCACAACATATTGAGATTGCACTGTGACCATTACAACTGACCTTGAAGGCCTGTTCCCCTGCTGCAGAAAATGTCTTGACGATGCTTGAAGAAACCTTGTGCAGGGGATCTGCCCCTGACCGTACCATCCAGCTGATCATCTGGAGCCGCGTCTGCTGTTGAGCCGGGGTTCGGTCGCACACATTGTTAACAACCGCAAGGAAAAGTGGCGGAAGTTCACATTCTAAGAGGTTTCGATTCCAGTCGACGTTGCCTGGCACGACCTGCTGCAACATCTCGAAGTTACAGAGTTCGATGAATGTTCGCACCATCTCATCAGTTGCCAT